AGGTTTAACACCAACAAGGAGGAATTACAAAATGTTAAATCTGAGGGCGATGCCCGAGGGTTTAAAATTTTGTAATCCTGACGAGGAGGTGGTAAACCTATATAAATAACAAATGCAATCATAAGCCATCCTACCATATCTGGTCTGGCCCATAACATGCGGCCAGTACACAATGCAGTTATGTAATCTGAGAGTGCCTCCAGCTGAGCCCCCTGCTGCGCCAATTGCATCACAAAGCTGTGTTGCGCCTTCCTACCTCTGTACCATAAACACATGCAGATGAAATCGGGTATGACCTGACTGAGCAAGACTTGGCTACACTCTTAAGCGACATGTCAGAAGATGATTTCTTACTAGACAATTGAACGCGGGATGAAAGCAATTGCGTCAAGATGACACTGACCATGAGACTGTACTGGTAGCGATGCTGGCAGTCATAGTAAGCATACCTGTAGCTCAGAAGACAAAAATGACAATGATGAAGAGACCTTATCAGCTGACAAAAAGCGGACCGTAGACTTCAGCACAGATGTGAAACTAGCATCTGTGGTGAGTCGCTTTGCTGCCCCAGTAACTGATCAAGAAGTTTTGAAAAAAGTCAATGGTCATGTACCACGTTCAACAAAGCTAGTTACCCAGTGGGCTGTAAGGATCTGGAATGAGTGGAAGTATAGTCAGCAAGGTGCTACTTCCACTATAATACCTCCTTTTTTAGAGCAAATCAATAACGAGCTCAATCACTGACTTTCCAAGTTTATAATAAGGTTAAAAAGCGAGATGGGTCATGTGACAATAGAGGGACTCTCTATAGTATTTGTTCCAGCATTCAACAGTATATTGGCAAAAACCGCTTGCTATAAAAAACAATGAAACCCTTGACATATATAAAGATCAACAGTTCACTTTGTTTCGATGCACATTTGATTTAGTTCTTAAAGATCAACATTCAAAGGGAGCAGGAGCTGTAGAGGAAGAGCTATGGTCAAATGGAGTCCTGGGCGATTCAGACCCTCGTAACTTGTTAGATACACTAGTTTATTTGATTGGACTTAATTTTGCTTTACGTAGTGGTAAAGATAACCGGAGCCTTAGACCTAATATGATACAACTTATTCAAAAGGAAGACGAGCCATCCTTTTTGCAATATATTGATTGAGGTTTGAAAAATAATCTCGGAGGTCTTAATGACCAAAAATTGAGAAATAAATTTGTAAAGGCTTTTCAAAATTTATAAAATCCTTCTCGATGCATAGTGAAACTTTTCAAGAATTATATGGAATTGAGACCACCATTGGCACTGAATGACATCTTTTACTTACAACCAATGCAGAAACCAACTCCTTCATGCTGGTATCAAACTAGGCCTCTCAGACACAACACAACAGTTCAGAAGCTGACTGAGAAAGTAGGAGTTTTAGGGCAATAAGGAGAACCTCTGTCACGAGATTGTTCCATGAAGGAGTAGAAGATAAGATTATGTCTATTATAGGCCATAGAAGTGCTGGAGGTGTACTGGCTTACAAGGAGCTCAGTGACAGCCAATCTTAGTAATAAAATACAGAAGAGACCAAATAAAGATCATTGTCAGAGACAGCAGCTACACCTGAGACCTCCAGTCTCTCATGAGACTGACATAGAGTTGAAGAAAGTCAAAATAGGCAGTGAGCACAATTTTAGTTTATATCAATTATAACTGATTGCTTGATAAACTATTCTCACTTGTATCATTTATTCTCACTTGTATTTTGTGTTGTCACTTGTATCATTTATTATCACTTCTATCATTTGTTCTCACTTTATTCGTATAATCCATTCATGTTGAAATTATGGCTTCCCTCTCCAGGATTTACAAAATTATAAGTCCTCTTTAGTGAGCTAAGCGTGAAAGGGAATTATTCATGTGTTGTTAATATCATAATAGCTGTTATATATGCTTTCTTTTACGGTCGTTCCAACTCTGATTTTCATTCCGAGGGTTGTACTAATCAGTGTCAAGCTTAAAGCCATGCCCTTCATTCTTTAAGGTCTGTCAGGCAGCATTTCGATGAGGAAAGAAGAAAGGATGTGATTGAAGAGCAGAGAAGAAAGGACGCCTTGACAAGTAGAGAAGAAATATCGCAATTCACGAGCAGAGAAGAGATTTTTCTCCTTACACAAGTGGAAGAAAAAAAGGAAGGGGCCTTCTCATACTTCTTTTAAAATAATTAAATATTTCACTTGATACTCACGTACCAACTTGTTTCGTATAAAGAAACACCTTTAAGGTACTTTTTGATGAAATTTTAATATTTTTTTAATTGCTGCCCTTTTAAAGTAAAGAAAAGTTGTACAACTTGTGCTATTTTTAAATTTTTACTATGCACTATTTAGAAGTTATAGATCATTTAACTTCAAATATTAAAAGAAATTCCTGCATAACTTTTCATACTTTATACGCCATCTTTGATCTTGTCATTCCTGGATACCGCTGTATATTATAAAACTGGCAGGAAAAATTAATTGCATGGTGGGCTTAAGTTATGACGTCATATTAGTCAAACCATTAATAAAAATGGCCACCAATATGTATTTCCTGACTATCGTTTATTTAGCTGTTTCATCTGGTGATTGCAGGCTCTACGAAGCTTTAAAGCTTGCAATCGTGGCATAATGAAGGCAAACACTCAATCAAGTTTGTATGCAGTAAATGCTTTTGTGATACACTGATGTTTGAAAGTCAACAAAACTTTGAGAGATTGTAGCCCATTCTGCAAAACTTGAAAAACTTTTGCCAAATGATGCAACATACATCAAAAGAAAATAATATTATAAACACAATGCTATATACTAAAAATTAAAGTATTCTCATCATGTTCAAGAATTCTTACCTCAGTTTTCATCCATTTTACAAAGTTTAGTAAAGTTTATTGCATCTCACTATTGAGAAAAAAATTGAAAAAATTATATATTGTAGAAAAAGTATAAAGAAAACAATTTGTGTTCCGAAATCTACATTGTGCGTTCAGCCAGTTGTACCTTAAAGCTAGTTTAGGAGCGAAAACTGTAACTATACCAGACTCTTCATGCTCACGAGATAAATTTTGGTCTGTTATCACTTCAACTTATCGAAAGCTCTTTAATTGTGGGGGCTTTGACTTACTTTGTGGTATGAGTCAAAGCTGGGAGCTTCAGCCTAAATCAAGATCGGTTGCCAAGTCACCTCAGTTCCTAAAATCAGTGCTCTGCAATGGAAATATCTTCATTAGACCTCTCCTGAAAAATCTAGATGAGTTGTTGAAGATATGGTATCAACAGATGATTCAGTGGAATTTTTGTAAGTGGCCAGTTACATACTGAGCATATCTACCGTACTAACAATAGGTTTAGTGCATTTATTGTGATCAGAGTTTCAAGCTGAATTTACTTCAACAGCATTCTCAAGACTGTTAAAAAAAGAAGTAAGCAAACTATTTCACATTACTGTACCTATATTTAATAAGAGGCAAGTTCATACGATTAATATTCATGATAATTGTGACTTTGGAAGTTCTGAGCCGAAGAAGAGCAGTTTTCAATTGCCTAAAGATGATGAGGATGTACAGTCATTCTCGAAAATATTGAATAGATGTGATTACTTTCAGTCACTTGTAACAAACCTGAATGAGGTAGTGAAGATAGTGTTGGATGTTGTATTGTAATACTGAGAAGTAGAGATTCAAAATAACATGAACACAAATGGTACAGCAAATTGCACCGACCTTGCAAGTCACTTCATAAACCAATTATGAATTTCAGGGGGACTGTATAAACTGAGGTGTGTCTTGCATTGTGTGGTCTTGTTAAGCAAACAGCCCACCCAATTGGCATTTGCAAGGTCTATGCAACTAGCTGTGTATTAATCAAAAATGCATATACTAGTTTATGGTTAAACAATAATGACATGCAATAATCACTAATAATTAATCATTCTATTACAATAGATAGCTGATGTATGTAGAATAAAATCCATTATGGTGACGCATGCTATAGATGTAAGAACTAACATAGACTTTGAATTTAAAACGTACAGTTAAATGATGTGCATTTTCTAATTATTACAGTACAATTTTTTATTGTACTTCATTATACAAGACCTCAGCAAAGAACACTAATCAAACAAGTTTCACCTGTAATGTGTACTGTCATGTATATTTTAAGTCAGAGAGGATTTGCTTAAAATAATGTCACCACTGATCTTAGTCACTAAATACGTCTTGAGTGTAAAATGTATTGTACCATGCTCAAACTGTGACATTGGTATTTGGTCATTTTCAATGCATTTCTGCCTTAATTTAATATCAAACCTTGCATGTTTATTACTTTTATTCATATTCAACATTGATGTGTTCTGCGTTCTTTACCATGCAGTACAACAGTACCCGCTCTGAAAAGCATTGTGACAAACCCTGCTGAACAACTAACTGATACAGTGACAATTATTCCTGTTAGTAGAGGGCATGTACTAAGGGTTGCATTAATAAATGTGAAGCATTCATCCTTCTGTTATTGGAATCCCATCAAGTGACAGTAAATTAATGCAACTGCTTAAGTATAATAGGTTGAGTTCTTAAATGAAAAGGGAGGTTGACCTGGTCAGGAATTTTAGCGTTGATTGGCTAAAGATATTGAGCAATATTGTGATGGAAATAGTGTAAATAAACTGCTAAGGCATGATCCTGTTGCTTTACATTTCCGGTTAGACAAGGTTTAGGCGGGCTTAACCAGCCCAACCGAAGCCGCAGTTTTAGGCCGGAACACTGCACATTTTCTGATGCTCATTGTAGCGGCCAAGCAATCGAATTCAGAAAGAAGGCCTCTTTATCACTTTTAGCAGTTCACAGCACCCTACCTTTCAAGCCAGAGCTCCTTAAGTTCAAGTACTTACTGTTGCGCCCACCATTACTCTGTTCTGATCTGAGCTTCTGGTGACTCCGTCAATTTCTAGTCTCAAGCCTTTCTCTATTGTAGTTACGCTGTAATAAATGGTGGACCCAACCCCTCCCGTAATCATCCCAGAAGACCCAGCGGGGGATGGGAGCACTACTCACACTGACCCGACACTTGGTGTTTGCACTGACCCGACCGGTACACACAGGCCAGAGGTCATCCTCCCAACTACCTCAGCCTCAGAGACTCCAGTTGGAGCCAGTGTGCTTGCAGGGATCATAACTATGACAGTCCAGGCGTGGCTCAACAATGCCCCCGCGAGCTCTACGACTGTCCCCACGGCTCGAACATCTGGTTCTGGGGACCCACCACTGGAGCTACCCCTGTCAGGTATGTTCACATGCTATTTTGCACACACCACCACCGTAGTAGGCTTTCGAGTTTATTTGCAAGACACTCTGCGAAGGCCTCCCTTTGTTGCTACTGTTCTTTGCAGAGGAGTTACCTACTCTCTAGTAATTGATTTATTTTACTCTTGTGCAACTGACCTTGTGGCTTGGCTTCCAAACCACAGGAAGATGCCTTAGAGCAAGGCCATGCCTCCCCATGCTAGGATGTCATAACATGCTAAAAGGCCTTACCCCTCCCTATGAATGGTGGAAGGCCACATTTAATCCCCAAGTGCGCCCCCCCCCTGCAGCAAGCGGACAGCTAAGGGCCAGCCATTGCACCCAGGCCCTTCAAATTGCATTCCTTACTATCTCCCTCCCTCCTCTACCCTTCTTTCCGTCCCCCCATCTCCTTCCCTTTCCCCCCTCTGTTCTCAACCTTTTGATTCTGCCGAGGTAGCCAAGGCACTTAGCTCTGTAGCCAACTCACTACCGCTGTTCAGTGGGACAACATGCGGTGGCCACATAAACCCATTCAATTTGCTATTGCTGCAACCACGCCCACCATTGAAGTCATTTGCTGTTTTTCTGTCCACGTCTCTCCCCAATTCCAGGGAAGATAATAGAAAAGATCAAAGGCGGCACCTACGTAGACCTGAAAGAGCTGCTAGTAGATAACTGTACTCTCCTGGACCGACTCTATGAGTTACGTTATTCAGCTCACAGCATCTTTCCCCAAACCCACATGACGGACATCCCAGATCCTCTCACCTGAGTATTTTGCTTTTTGTTTTTTATTGCCATTAGGGCAGATCATGAGCCCACTAAACAACTCGTGGCCTATGCCTAGAAATTATTCCACTGGCCTGAAAACACGGTGGCCATGGCTGGAGAACCTATGACTCGAGGTTTCGCCAACAAATAACAGCTGGCATTCCTCTCCATTGGGTTAAAGTTGAACCATCCCTCGTGGCCACCTCAGTGATACACTCCCAAGCAGCAGATAATTTATGCCCATGGTGTTTCAAATCTGACCACAAGGCCAGTGAATGTGCCCTGGCCTCAGTATCCTAAAAGCCCCAACAGCCTCCCAATTCAGGGACTCCAGCCAACCCGACAAGGCAACACCCATACTGGCAGCCCCAGACTAACGAGCTTTGTTGCACGTTCAATAGTGGCCGCTGCACTCATACGTGCTGCCGTTTTGAACACATGCAGCAAATGTGGGAGCCAGGACCATTCAGCAGTGTACTGCAAGCAGCCAGGGACTCAGGCAGCCAAGATGAAAAACTCTCCCTTAGCATAGGAAGAATTCCTCCCTGGACTGTAGTCATGACTGATCAAGGTCTTGTACCCTACAATAATCAAAAGAACCAATTTTGTTTGTTTAAAATGAAAAATAATAAAGTTAAAAATTAAAAAAAGCAGTAATGAATAGCGGTTGCAGGGGAAGACTTAATGGTAGGGCATGCCCCATGACTACAGTTATGATTACTCTGCTGCCTCAGCATACACAGCTGCTACGCTCTCTATTCAGTTCGTTGGCTTCTAGCTCACTTTACTTCCCCTTATTAGGCAAATACACATACATGGATCAGCTGCTACAGCTAGAAGCAGTGTCCAGCCAGCCCAAGCATCCTCCTCCCTTCCCAGTGTCTGGTTTCCTCCATGGCACCCCTTCCTCCATCATGGCCTCGCCACCACCTTCACATTTCTGGGCATTGACATCAACTCAGTCAACATGTCCCTATTGCTCCCTTTGCCCAAACTGACAGCTCTGAAGGCAAAGCTGGCCCACTGGACGAGCAGAAGTGCAGCCTCCAAACGGGAGCTCCAGGAACTGATAGGCTACCTCAACCATGCGGCAGCCGTGGTCAGCCCAGGCAGATTGTTTGTCAGGTCTATGATAGAGGCCATGAAACTCCCTCGACTGAAGGACCTACTAACTTGCTTGGATGCCAATTGCAGGGCAGACATTCTGTGGTGGCATCTGTTCGTGGCGTCTTGAATGGGGTCTCCATCCTCCCGCCCTATGCCCCCATTGTCACGTGGTATCGGACGCCTCAGGCTCCTGGGGTTGTGGGGCACTATCCGCTGCTTTGGGGAATGGTTCCAGGTGGCTTGGCCGGCCTGGTGGACGGAGGTTTATATAGCAGCCAAGGAACTCCTCCCCATCGTGATTGCTGCAGCAATTTGGGGCAACCACTGGAAGGGAAAGCGGGTCCTTTTCGTGTCTGACAACACTGCAGCAGTGAGTGCCCTCAACTCTAGGTTGGCTCACCATTCACCACTCGCCCACCTCCGCTGCCTCTTCTTTTGGGAAGCCAAACATGGCTTCTTGCACGTGGCAAAACACAGACTCAATGCATCTGCTGATGCCTTTCCCGCAACAGGCTAGACTTATTTCTTTCTCTAAATCCACAAACCCACACTCAAGCCTCCCCAGTTTCCCCGGCCGTGCTGTCACCCCTCTTGGACCAATGTCAGCGGTTGACCTCCCTCCTCTGGGCGCAACTGTTCGGTCCCTGTTCAAGGAAGGTCTAGCAGCATCCTCCCACCGATCTTATCGCTCAGCCAGGAACCCCTACCTGGAGTTCTGTCGAAGGGCTAACCTCCGCCCCCTCCCCAACAACAGATCACGCTATGCCTTTTTGCCTCGTTCCTCTCACGGCAGGGGCTCGCGGCCCGATCAGTGTCGTCTTACTTGTCAGCCCTACGTCACATGAAGATTGAAGCGAGAGCCACGTCCTTTCTCCGTTACCAGTGGCGCTACTTACAATACGTGCCGAAAGGAGTGAAGTGCTAATTGAGTAGCTCCCAAGGGACTTTGAAGAGATTCCCCATTTCCTGCGATATCATGCGTCTTCAGGGCCAGCCCTACGGACCCGCCACTCCCTCTCAATGCTCTACTTTGGCCAACAGCGTGTATTGCCTTCTTTGGCTTCCTGAGGCTAGGGGAGTGACGGTAGCAGGCCCGGAAGCCACTCTACCTATTCTAAAATCGGGCATCCATCGACTCACATTCAGACCGGGGCATTATCAGGTTATCTCTTGGTCACACAAAGACTGACCCCTTAGGACAGGAACCACAGTCTTTCCAGAAAAGACAGGGGCTGCGGGCCTTTTCCCAGTAAGGGCCATCCTGAAATATCTCAGGGTTCACCCCTCCTTGAATCAGGGCCCGCTACTAATCCTCCCAAACCAGTCACCACAAACCAGGGACGTTTTCGTGAAGCACCTGAAGGACACTCTAGCAGTCAGAGGAATTGACCAAAGGCGGTACTTGGGGCACAGCTTTAGAATAGGCGCAGCTACCTCAGCTGCACCAGCTGGAGTCCCAGACTACCTAATCAAGGCATTAGGGAGATGGTAGTCAGAGGTGTACCAGACTTACATCAAGACGCCCCCATTATCCCTCACCACTGTCTCAGCCTCCCTGGCAAGGTCAGCCTCCACCCCCAGCGGCCCCAGTTCTCACAGCTCTCAATAGACAGACCACTTTTTTTGCCAATGAGGTCAATTATTCACTTTTGAGCCTGTCTATATTCCTTTTTTTCCTTATACTTACTTTTCTTTTGAAGAAGTTTGAGTTTTGAGAATTTCCTAGTTTGAGCGTGGTGGTTTAGGCACATTTTCACCCCTCAAAGTCCCCTGCTGACCTTGCCTTGGGGTGGAGTAGGCACGGCCCTGTGTTAATGGCGTGAAAACAACTCCCCTTGCTGGGGCCTCCCTTAATGCCTTAGAGGTAATTTGCAGGGATATCCCTTTTTGCGGGGTGTGTTCAGGGAAGCCACGCTCAATGCCACACCCTTCTTGTTATCCACGAGCAGGAGTGGCATAACTTTAATATTCTATACTTTAGGTCGAGCTCCTGCTCAAAATAAGGTTGGTCAGTGGTTAATTTCCGGTTAGACAAGGTTTAAGCGGGGTTTACTAGCCCAACTGAAGCCACAGTTTTAGGCTGGAACAATGCACGTGTTCTCCTGCTCATCGTAGTGGCCAAGCAATTGAATTTAGGAAGAAGGCCTCTCTATCACTCTTAGCAATTCACAGCACCCTGCCTTTTAAGCCAGAGCTCTCTAAGTTCAAGTACTTTTCTACCCACCTCCCCCCTCTGACACAGTTCTCTTCACTGGGCCTGCCCAATGTGATGCGTGTCATTACCTTTTCACCCCCGCAAAGTCCCCTGCTGACCACGCATTAGGGTTGATTAGCTATGCCCCCGTTTTAATGGCCTGGAAACCACTATCCTGGGCGGGGCCTCCCTTAATTGCCTTTGAGGTAATTTGCAGGGGTATCCCTCTTTGCGGGGCGTGTTCAGGGAAGCAATGTGCAACGCCACACCCTTCTCATTATCCACAAGCAGGGTGGCATCCCTTTAATATTCTATACTTTAGGTTGAGCATCCTGCTCTAAATAAGGTTGGTAAGTGGTTAATGTATGTGTAATTTCCTATAAGTGTCATTTTAATTTCTATTACTTTTGGCAGGAAAAAACTTTCTTAGATTAGACAATTAATGGCTTTATTGGTCTTACATGGTGGCTGTGGCTCTTTGTTCCTAGGAAAGTCAACATATGATTATTAATTTTGTGTAATGTTCCTCTTTCATCTATAACTATTAGTAAGGACAAAGTTCCGCAATTGGAAGCCTAAGTTTTCTTTGATAAGGTATACATGTTTTTGTTTAGTTAAGCTAATTTTTCAGTTGTTGTTTATTTAGATTGATACTGTAGGAGACAGCAATGCATTGAGAGCTATCTGCATGGAACATCTTGATTATTGATGCAAGCTTGAATAAACCTATCAACAATCTTGAGCTCAGCAATTAAGAGGATTTGACAAAAAAGCTGAGTTAGATCAACTGGTTCATGGCTCATCTATTATTGGGTATTAAAGACGCAATACGTAACGATCCAGTACATATTACTCCTCTATTCACTTCAAGACTCAACTCACTGCTAGAAAGTCCATAATATTAATAATTTCGGCAATTATTTGAA